ATGCATATCTACCTTTTGATAAATTACTGATGATTAGATGCAATGGACCAAACATAAACAAAAAAGTTTTGCGTCTCATGAATGAGGAAATTCTGACAACTCGCAAAAAAGGCCTCATCAACATAGGGACTTGCAGCATTCATACAATCCACAATGCCTTTTTGAAAGTCCTGAAAGAGTTGGGCAGAGATGGTGGTGATCTCATCACAGCAACACACAGCTTTTTTGATTGGTGGCCCTCTAGGTGCGATAAATACACAGAAATTCAAGAGAAACATAATTTGCCATGCCACAAATTTATGAAGTATTCATCAACTAGATGATTGACATTTGGTCCTGCAGCACTGATTGAATAATGGAAAGGACTCATATTATACTTCCTAAAGCACATTCCTCAAGAATTCCAGCTTAATGAATAGTGTTTCATATAAGATAATCTCAAAGTCATTGAAGTGTTCTACCATCAAAAGCTGAACTCTATTTGGGAATATCTAGTGCTGAACTATTCACAAAGTTTATTTGGCATTTTCAATACAATGATTCTTTAATACATAAACTTTATAGTGAATTGCTTACCCTGGTGTGAAGAAAATTCAGTGCATGACTTAAACAAAAGAAAATCATCTTTAATTACAAATTTTTTTAACAAGAAATCAGAAAATGTACCTTGAAATAAATAGCATTTGAAATTTGATATGTTATATGGAGGCAAATTCTGGTAGTTATGTTACTCTTCCATTTCCTTTGCTGTATAATGGTAGGAACTCCATATGGAGCACATGAAAACTTAATGCAGACCCGTTCTGGCTTAATGTAGTCTTACTGGTCACTTTTCTGGAGTATAAACTCAGCCTAACTATTTTCATATTTAATTTTTTCACTCCAATTAAAAATCAATGTAATATCATATGCAATGTTGTTGATACAAAATGTGTGTTTGTGTTTTTTTTTTTATAATGCCTCTTTTAGTTCACTTTAACACTATTAGCTTTTTTTCAGTGTGAACTGTGTTTTTTCACTGCCATGACTGCTTTAAGCCCTGTTTAGTCAAAACTTTACTATCAAAACAAATTGACAATTAATTTATAATGAGATAATAAATGAAAGACATATAAGTTATTTAAAAATAATTGTCAAATTTGTAAAGATGGTTCCTGCTTTTAGGAACCATCTTTACAAATTTGACAATTATTTTTTATAATTCAGTAAAAAAAATACAGTAGTCTCGAAAACTCGGCCTAATGTGGACCAAAGGGTGGCCAAGTTTGTGAAAATGCCGGATTATTGGGAATGGGGTTAAAAAAATAAGTATGAGCGTTTCCTCAGAAAATACTGTACTGTACTTGTATGTATTGTTTACTTGAGAATACAACAGAGAATAAACTGCCCAAATACCCTTAAACAAAGGAAAAGTAGTCCTTTATGAAGGCATAGAGCCTTTACTACATGAAAATGAAAATTAATGAATACACTGTGTACAGTAATTTATATGATAAGACAGACCTCAGAAAAATACTTTGAGGCATAAAGCTGTCTACAATGAAAATTAATTAGCTAAGGATTTTTTTGCCCTGCCAGGGTGTGGCTGAGTTATCCGGACTGCTGAGTTATTGAGTGCCGAGTTTTCGAGACTCTACTGTAATAACATTGCATTTGGCATACAAAAGAAAAAATATTTGCATAAATAGTCCACCAACTTTGGACAGATTTTCACATATAAATATGTCAGAATCTGAATATTCATTAGAAAGTTATGATCACTAAAACTTAAGAAATTTACAAGTTTCAACATTCAGGCATCATTTTACCAACCAGGAACATCTGGCTCTGAAAGATAGATGTTTCTGTGATATAACTTTATCACAATTTTCTCCATCCTAAGGGGAAGAAAAATAAATATTTGATTGGAAAGCATAGGGATCAGAACCTTTCTTTGTTGGTTGGGAGTACAATATAAAGAGGATAAAACTCTGATAATGAATGAAAAAAAGTTTGGGTGATCAAAGAGGAGAGGACAAAGAAAGGATTCAGTAGCTGGAGGTTGGATCAAAAATTTTTGGTGATTGAAAAATCATTGTATTTCTTCAATATTAGAATAATAAATATTGAATCAGGTGTGAGAGAATATTTGTGTACACATATCAGATACTTGCATATACCTATGTTAGGTGTTATCATATGATTATAATCTGGACTTAATTGGTCTGTTCATGTGTAATCTACATTATTATAATTGTAACATTTTTCTAGATTCTAATAAATTATGTACAGTAATACCCCAAACTTACGCGATAGGTGGGACCGAGCGATAACCATTTAAGTCGGGGTATAATTTCACAATTTGTGTAAAATCCAAGTCGGATGTATGTAAATTAATAAATGTTCTCGTTAATCTTATCTTGTCTTTTGATTCATTCATGGTTACAAGAAATCACCACATAGTCTCTCAATGCTCCGTAGATATAACAAACACAGAAATAAATAACACAAAATAAATTGTAGCTATGTGTCGATTCCACGCTACACGTCCGAACATGTAAGCTGAACAATGGTGTGGGGGGAGTGAGTAATCAAGAGTTGCGTGGCACTCAAACAAAAGACAAATCGGCGAGATTTGAAAATCGCGTAACTCCAGGTTCGCGTAAGTCGAGATATTACTGTACTACTAACATGCATGAGAATGTTGTCACTCTCTCCCCAGATTCACATGACATTGACTTTTATTCTGTGTGGATTCAGGATGATGTGTTTAATAATAAAATAATCTTAAAGTAAAACAAGAAAATACTATAAATTAAAATAATGTGGAACAATTTAATAAGAATAAACATTAGAAAATAGACATATGGCATTTATATTAATTGAGCATTTGGATGTCATAATGTTCTATGAGGTATTAAAGATTGAACTTTGACACTTCATTGCACATAAAATATTTTACTTTTGAGATTTTAGATTTTTGTGTTATATACAATGTGGCCTTTTGATTATACCACTTTGTTTTTCTGTAATGAGTGTGCTTCTACTTAAACATTTTATGTTGGTGAGTGAGGTCAGTATAACTTTATAATAAGAGAGGTTGCGGCCAACGTTTTCATCGTGAAAATATGTACGTCGGACATTCAACGCTGCCTTCCTGTAAGCCTAGAAGTTTGACAATGACGTTTGGAACATCGAGTATGATTCCACTGACATTCCAAATGCCATTGTCAAACTTCTAGGCTTACAGGAAGGCGGCACTGAATGTCCAACGTACATGTTTTCACAATGAACATTTTGGCTACAAGCTCTCTAATATTAGATATAAAATTAAGTCGTTTTATTCATCTGTTACTTTCGTAAATAAGTTTTCATAGGATAATGTATATAAAAATTTTTTAAAAAATGGTTGATTATAACTACATTCATTTTATTTGAGTATTAATAGGAAAACATTTGTTTTTTTAACTTTATTATATAATAAAAATTAATCATTAATTACAAGTACAGATATTCATTGATAATTATCTTATATCAATGACCAAGATAATCAAGTATCAGTTTACATAAATAAAAACAAAAGTGTTAGATTACAAGATAAACATTTATTATTTATATAATCTGAGAAACTAGTTGTACCCACCAAATTATTTGCTGTAAAAATTATTGTTTAATTACAAATAAATAGGAAAAATAAAAAGCAAGTAAATTTTATGCAAATAAATGTATAAGACTTTATGAAATTTCTTGGTATACATTTATTGTGTAAATACCTTCACAGTTCATTTCTGCATGCAAATTAAGTCAATGACATTTTTAATTGAATGTGGTTTTTTGTCTACCTGTAAGCTTTCTTCTTCACTTAGGTGCCATTTTATTCAAAAAAAAGAATTTAGTCGTCCTGACCAAAATTTAATTCACAATAGTGAGGTTGTGGCTGAAGTTTTCATCTCCAAAACATTAACATTGAACATCAAGCACCGCTGTCTTGTAAGTGACATTCATGTTTTAGATATGAAAACTTTGGCTGCAACTTTGCTATTAATTTCCTGTTAATAAAATATAATTTAAAAATAATAGAAAAATCAATGAAAGAATATCAATTTAAAGTTATTTTTCAAAAGCATTTTTATACTAGATGAGGTAAGCTCAATACCAGAATGATGAAGAATCACCACTTATAACAAGAGCAAAATTGGGCATATTTTTGCTTCTAATTATTTTAAATGAAATTAAACTGTAAAATGGAAGGCAACATGTGAAAGTTGACACATGGATCTTATCTCATTTAGCTGTTTTGTTTTTGCATTTTTAAATGTTTTTTATACTATATTATATATAATTTTATTTTTTACTTTTTTTTCAAATTTTAATACTTCGATCCATGTATCAACTACATGTCTCCTTCCAGCCCTTTGATCTGACATAGATTCTTCCAGTTTCTCATGTTATTTTAGCACAGATAGTAAACATTGTGTTTTATAGTAGTTTGCATTATATTTTATGAAAGACTTTTAATTTTTTGCTTTTATCCTTATAAATCAACAATGAAAAAGACTTCACTGGCAAAATATCAAAGAAACTAAAGAAAGTGATGTCTCTCAAAGACAAAAAATTAAAATGCTAGTTCATTTTCAAGTGCCATGTATTGCCTGTCAAAAATATGAAAACCACATTTCCTATTGAAATTGTATTTTGTATAATGGATATATATTCCTGTATATTTAATTATTATAATTAAATATACTAGAACCACAGTAAGGAGTCTAGAAAAGCTGAATGTGGCTTGTGGACCACAGTTTGACTACTGTGGGTATATATTATTTTAATTAAACTAATTTTTTTTGTATTATTATTATTATTATTATTAAAAGAGATACTTTTTTTAAAAATTATAAATTAAATACTTCAATATAAAAACTTGAAATATAGTATATAATTATATAGAGAGAGATAAATATTTTAAAATTTAACTAGTAAAATTGTGATTTGTTACAATTACATGTATTTATTTTTTTTAGGTGGTTTTATGTAGTAGTGAAGATATAGCTAATAGTGCAATTGAACTATTAAAAGAGACTTTCACAAATCTTGGTCCAAGTTTACAAGCTAATCAAGTGGATATCCACGAAGATTTTATTCAGTCTTGTATGGATAGATTAAAAGCATTTTATGATACCATCACAGTGTTAGAAAGAGATAAAGATAGTGTTAATCGTCTCCGCCAAGAAGCTACTAAAATGGTTAGAGTGTTAAAAGTTCTTTATGAATATATCAATAAATGTGATGGAGATTATGGAGAAGAAAGAACAATACTTCCGATGGCAAGGTTTGAATAATTTTAGTATTTATCATTTTTTATATTTTTAAAATTACAAGCAATTGTAAATTAGTTAAATAATATTGAAATACAGTGGTACCTCGGTATACGTCTGCTTTAGAATACGTCCAATTTGGAATACGTCCTGTTTGGACGAAACAAATTTTGCTCGCTATATGACATAATTCAATTATACGCACCATCAATGAACAAGTAGCACTATCGGTGTACTAGACCAGACTAGACGTTCGCGGTGCAACGGTTTATAACTTTGTTAAATTTCTTCTGATTGTAATTTGTAAGTAAAATTTGATTATTTTTATTAATCACGAATCGCAAAAAGGCAAATGAAAAGCGACAGAAAACTAAAAAAATGACTAGAATTACAATGGAACTGATAAAAGAGATTGTTGAGAAATACGAAGATGGCACGCGTGTTCGAGATTTTAACTGTTGCCTACCGTATTCCAAGAACGGCGATATGGACAATCGCGAAAAATAAAGACATTATTAAATCTGCTAACGTTGCGAAAGGAGTTAAATCAATTTCTAAACAGAGATCGAAGACATTAGATCATGTCGAGAAATTGCTTTTGCTTTTGCTTTGGATAACTGAAAAACAGTGCTGGAGACAGCATATCGAAAGCAATTATTTGCGAGAAAGCTAAAAAGATACATGCTGATCTCGTGAAAAATCAAGCAGGAACTAGCCAGGAAAGCAATGTGTTTAAAGCCAGCCATTTTTTTTTTCATGAGAACAGATTAATCATTTTTACATTACTTCTTATGGGAAAGGTTGGTTTGGTATTCGTCCAATTTGGTATAAGTCCAAACTTCGGGAACGGATTAAGGTCGTATACCGAGGTTCCACTGTATTAATATTAATGTTCAAATGTGGATATTCATGCTCAAATTCATTTTTGGAATTCATTTTGTGATTTGGAGAGCAAGATACAATGCTTTAATTCTTTCATAAGAGTGGTTAGCAAATCTGTTATTTAGATTAGTTGTATTAGTTGCATAATCTTACTCCTTAATGTCATTGCTGTAATATTGTTTTTGGTGGATGTCAAAAGTTTATTCCATGAAGTATATTGTTGTTAATATGATGGAAAGCAATTGAGCAAAGGATTTCAAAACTTTTTCAAAACCTTGAACCAAGAAACTGTAAATATGTGCTATTTTCTGAATTATCATTAAAATGCAAATTCACTTAATATCTTTTTATTTCATTTGTTTGTTGGACAGTAACATAGTATTTTTCTCTTCAAATGCCAATGTAGATTTAAAGAAACGTTTTAATAAAATTATCAACAAACAGTTTTGGTAAAAAAGTTTTTGTTTTGCTCTTATTAATGTTTAGTAGTAGTAGTAGTAGTAGTAGTAGTATGACACAACTAATTACAAGATGAATATCAAAATAGGTGCTACCTATTACATATTATGTTATAAACATTTTAATTGTCATCAGAATTTTCAAATAATTTGGTAGTTATAAAATGATACTTGAATTAATCTTTTTAAAATGACAGAAAAATACATATACATAAGCATCTTCAATGAGTTTGTGTGTTTTATTATGCATATTTTTCCATCTTGGTGATTTTATATATATATATATATATATATAGTTTGATTGAATTATAATGCAAGGAATTTTATTTTGATAAAATTAATTATAATTTAGTTTTATTAAAAAGCAACAATACACAATCTAATCCTGTTCACCATCAGGATGATATTAATTGAGGGTTTTGGGAACAATCCATCAAATCTTTCCCTTCCATCAGTTCCTGACACCAGTAATATATGCAAACTAAGACATGTTAAAATTTGTCTTGTCTTCCTAGTGGATGAAGATTTAAATGATCCTTTAACTGGAACTTAGGGCACTTTCTTTAAGTATTATGTATTGTGTTAATGTGAATAGACAATGGAGTTAGACACTACTTAGACAGTTTAGAACAGGTGTCCAACCTTTTTATTTCTCTGGGCCGCATTGGAAGAAGTTGAGTTTTGGGCTACAAATATATATAATATATACTTGTGGCCCAATATACAAGTATATTTAAGGATTAACATGTCTAGATTATAATAATAAGTATTAAAACTTTATCAAGAAAACAGGATATTTTAAAAAATTACTTCTACAGACACTTTCAGTTTTTACTTGGAAATAGATAAATTCATTTATTATAAAAGAGACAAACAAAAATTTATTTTTAAAACACAAATATTTGATATCATAAAGTACTCAGCAAATCACTATACATATACATATACTTAACACCTTATTCTTTATAAAATTCCGTATGAGAACATGCAATTGGGCGTTAAAAAAGACTACATTGGAGTAACCACTAGAAGTTTAGGGCTTAGAATCAAGGAGCATAGTTATAATATCAGAAAGGGGTCTAATGCAACAATTTTGTCCCAAATGGCACAAGCACCAGGAGCTATAGTCAAATGGAATGAGGCGACCATCATAAATCCTTTATCTTCTCCATCTTTGGCGTTGACAGCGGAAAAGTTGCAGATTTATAGGAGTAGATTACAAGAAGGCTGTCTAAATGCGAGGGACGCAGAAAGTCTTCCCTCTGCATGGAAGTTTATGGTTAAGAAGTTTAATAAGGGCTCTAACCAATCAATATAGTAGTTTTATTGAATGTCTTAGTAATTGCATTTATTAATACTTATATATTCATTTGTTGCATTTTTATATATTTTTTGTTTTTTATATTTTTATTTTTGTTTTATGTTGGTTATTTAATATTTTGTTTTAATTGTACCTTATTTAATTTTGAATTTGAATTTTGTATTCCATTGATGGAATTTTAATTCAAATGTATTCTAAACCTGAAGATGGCCTGTGAATCAGGCTGAAAACGTTTGTTTGTTTCAAATAAATTATATTTCTCGGCAAGAATAAGGTGTTAAGTATATGTACACAAATATTTGTTTTATTTGGGTCTCTAATTAATAAAAAGTGACGAAACACATTTTCAAGTGCATTTTTATTCGACTAATATATTTATAAATAATATGTAGCCCAAAAAGTAGCCAAAGTGCCAAATAATATTTTTTACGTCAAGCACATTTGGCGCAATGTAGCCAAATCTTGCAACATTGGAAGAAATACTAAATAAAGCTGGAGTTGTGAATCAAAGGATTATAGACCCAAATGTGGGGAAAGGAGAGTAAGGACAAAAGATAAAGAAGTGAGAAAGGTTGGAAAATTAAGGGTCAGTATTTGCATAACAGAAGATCTATTTAACTTTTCTCACTACTTTTTATCTTTTGTCCTTTCTCACCTTTCCCTCCTTTTCCCAAATTTGGGTCTATAATCCTTTGAGTCACAACTCCAGCTTTGTTTAGTAATCCTTCCTCATTCACAAATCTCCAAGTATTTGAAAATATTTCCTTTCCACTCAAAAATAAAATATGAATAAAGGTTTATGGCTTTGTGAAATTTCTTTTTTGAGTTTGTGCCGTTGAAATAAATAAATAATAAAAAAATTAAAACATGTGTTGGTTTTGTATTTGTGGTTACACATTTATTGGGCCGCGGGTTGGACACCCCTGGTTTAGAATATAAAACTATATTTATTATACGAGATTATCATAATGAATTATTAAATTAACAATAGGGTAAATTCAACAAACTAATTAGACAAGGATATCAATCTATAATCTCTAGTTTTACTAAGAGAGGTTACATATACAATTTATTATATTACTTGGGCATCTATATTACTTGCACCATCATTTTGGGATGAACTAAATGTCCTTCTCCCTGTCAGAGGAAGTCAAAGACTGATAATTTTTCTATCAACTTAAAATTCTTTTAAATAATAATTGACAAATATCTCAAAATCCTAGATTCTCACATTATTATACTGTTCCAAATAAATTCTTATGTTTATTGTGCAATGAAATAATTTTCTTTGGGAATCAATGCTAACATTTTTTCTCAATTAACATTAAATTCTTGTTGTGTTCAGAAACAATTTTGAATTTTAAATATCAAAATTTACTATTAATTAGGTTATATGTCCAGTCATGACCCAGATAGTCCTTGAATTACAGCAATATCTGGTGTTATTTACAGGATTAAAGTTTGGAATTTTTCAATGGGGAAGAAGCAAAGAAAAAAACAAGCAATTATTTATTGTGACACTATCACAATGCTAGGGCTGCAACTTTTTAATCGTCTTTCAATTTTAAAAAATTACATAATTTCATATCTAGAACGGAAGTACTTATATATTTAATTGGAATCTCTAGCCTCTAAGCTTTTCATATTTGGTCTTACTTTTAGTGGTTTCTTGCTCTTGTACATCATACTTCTGATAACAATTGAATCGTGTCAATCATCTTTGTATCTCAGTACTTGAGAAAATTTTGAATTGACATCATGTAACTTCCATTCTAAACCATAAGTTTGTATATAGTTAATCTGAGTCTCTGGTCCGTAAGCTTTTCATTTTCATCTTTTCGACTCCATTCTCAAGATTAATGAAGGACAGAGGGATAGGTGGATAACAGTGGAAATGTATAGGTCAGCAATTTGAAAATTGCAACCAATGATAAATAATTCATGTTTGAACATAATTTGCAACAATAATTCTATTTGTCAGTGTTTCGTCACAAAGATTCATACATTCTTGGCCTTAATATTGAAATATACACATCATAATATAAATATTTTTGACAAGTGGAATTTTATTTTAACTTATAATAAGAGTTTAATAACTCCATTTCATCTCCTAAAGTTAAATCTTGGGTCTTTAATACTTGTTTTATTATTACCTTTAACTCAATATGAGATTTTAAATCGTATTGTATAGAAAGTCAAGTAGCTTTTGGATATATTTGCTTTCAAATATCTTTAAAACATTTAAAAAAAAAAAAAACATAGCTTCATTATTTGGAAACATTTAGAAAGGAAATTGTCATAATCAGTTCATATTAAATCCAAATGAAACAGAGATTGCCTCTAAAATATATGAAGTTTAGAATTGTTACATTGTGATAGTTTTTTTTAAATTAAACATAATCAACATTTTACACTTTTTAATAATTTTTATTCTTTTTAGGGCATTTCGTGGAAAACATATGGTACTTACAATTCGCTTTCCTAATCAAGGAAGGCATGTAGATGATATTGATATTTGTGTTCATAGTAATGATACGTTAGGTTCTATTCGTCGTCAAATATTAACAAGGTATGTATAGCATATATATATATGAATTGATTTTTTAAACTGATTTAATAAAATCTTATATTTTAATGTACCTAAATTTAATATTTAAACATAAACAAGATCAGTGACTTAAGTTTAGTTGCTAATAACTGGATTTATTTGAGTTATTAATTTTTAATAAAGATTTTGAGACTAGTACATATAAATTATGATTTTAGCCTTCAGTTCTAATATAGGAGTTTAATGACACATTGATTTAAAATTAAAATTTAAAGAACAAACTGGAATATTAATATTTGGGTTTTTGTAAAAGACAAAGTTATTTTTAGAAAGTGTATAATTTGTACTCCATATCTACAAACTATGTAAATATGGATATAATATGCCATACAAATTTATTTAAAATGTTCAATTTTTAAAACCTGTTAATATGTAAGTCTTTAAAATATGTACTAGTTGTGCCCATGGAAATTATTTGCAAGTATATAAAACAAAATATTACATGCAAAGAATAAGTTGTTATTTGGAAAATTATTGTGACTGGAAACTAGGACGGAATCTTTGCATCTAGATTGCTCATAAATATAAATGAATTTTGCAGTTCTCTTTGCTTTTTATGTGAGTTTGCTTTTATGTTTTTGGATTAGACCAATGGAATAAGGCAATGCAACAGCTGCCAATCTGCCAAGGGGTACCTCCAGGGAGGACTTTTTAGGTGAACTGGCCCATTTAGATGTTAAACATTTAAATAAAACATGCAAAAGTTTATGCAGCCAGTCTGTTGACCAGGCACAAAGTCACTAGCCAGTTTTCAATGGTTTTATCTGTGTGCTTTATTTTGTTAAACATCAGAAGTTACAACAATGCCTGAGAAGCAATTATTAACAGAATTAAAGTTTAATTTTAAAATACTTATTAATTTTGTTGTTTGATTAAAAAATCATTTTATGTTGAACATCAACATACTTCCATAACAAACTGTTCAATATAGAAAGTAAAATTCTGCAAAATCATTTCAAGAACTTTGAGTTTTTTAATATTTAACTTTAACATGTTATGTTAATTTTTTTTTCCCCTTGAGAAAAGTGCCAGATTTCTAAATCATTTGCTTTGTAAAAATATGTAAGTTGTGACCCGCCAGGGAGGTCGGGAATCGTCAACTCTCCCTTTTCGGCGACAGGTCGTTAAACCTATGCACTAGCCAAGATGGCTAAATTTCGAATGCGGTCCCGAAGGGTCGGGATACTTTTTGTCAGGTCGAGTGGAGAAGGTGAGAGGGGTCGTCGACGAGGCGTAGGCGATATACGCGTAAAAGGACACCATTTAACAATGAGAACAACAATTTATTAGACTAACGAAAAAAAATAAAGGTTACAAAATCTAACATGGTGGAATGAATTTATCTCACTATTAGCTCCTAACTCGCAGAGAGAGAGTTTACAATTATTTGTTCATACCTCTAGTTTACTTCCACGTAGGTGGGAAAAATTTAGTCCTTTTTTGTCTGTGATCGATGCACACAGTTCGACGCACAAAGTTAAAGTTTCCCCAGAGACTTAATTAATCCTTCTAGACCGTAGATGTCAGACTCTCCCGAGGAGGGGGAAAGAAGTCGCTTTTATAGCTTCGGACTGGGAAAATCAGTCAGGTGATCTCCCATCGTGTGAGATAGAGTTGGTCCTGCAGGTGTGGAGGTCAAAGTTGTTCCCGGGACCAAAACAAAATGACGAATTCGGACTTTAACTATAAACTTTTTGTCTTGTAGCAGAGGAATGTCATTGTTCGAGGGTTGAATGTTTATATGAACGATGAAAGTTATAAGTTGCGATCGATATTTGATTCTTTTTTCTGACAATGTTATTTTAACGAGGAGGCGACAAATTTATTTTAAATATGTCGAAAATTTAGGGGGGGAAATGAACAATTTTGGGCTTATTCTGAGGTCAGATCTCACATTATGTTAATTCTTTTTCCCCCCTTGAGAAAAGTGCCAGACTTCTAAATCATTTGCTTTGTAAAAATATGTAAGTTGTAAAGATCTGTATTGTAGTTTATTAGATTAAAGGAGAATTGCAGACATTATTTATATATGTCATGTAACATAAATCCTGTTTGATGCACTAAAAACTCTGGTGGAAAATACTCTCTCCAAAACAGTACAAGAACTAGCACAAGTAGTGGATATAAGTCATATGACCATTCAATGGCATTTGAAACAGCTGGGAAAAGTGTTGAAGTTGGGAAAATGGGTTCCTCATGATGTATTGCTAGCACATCTTGAACATCATGTCAATATGTGCATTTCATTGTATTCTTGTTATCTCCAAGCTTCATTTTTTGATCAAATCATTACTAGAGATGAAAAATGGATACAATATAAGAATATTAAACCTCATCAGTTGCTCAGTCCTGGAGGTAAAGCAGTACCTCAGCTTGAAAGTCAGTCTTTATCCACTTAAATTAAGATGCTGCTCAGTGTTTGGTGGGAAATCAAAGATGTGATACATTTTGAGCTGCTGAGAAAGAATGAAACCATTATAGCTGAAGTTTACTGTCAACAATTGGACCATTTGATAAAGGCCCTGTGAGATAAATGTCCAGCACTGGTCAATAGGCAATGCATTTTATTCCATTAAGATAATTTCTGATTACACATGGCTCTTATCATCTCTAAAAAATAGGAGGAATTTGGCTGGGAAAAAACTGATACCTTCTCATATTTTTTGGTCCTTGCTCCTTCAGATGACATTTATTTCAGTGTTTGCAAAATTATTTTGATGGAAAGAACTTCAGTTCTCAAAAAAATCTCAAAAATGGAGTGTCTGCAGGTTTTGATTTTAAACCAGGAGAAGTTTTCCAACAGGATATCAAAAAGTTGCATGAAAGGTAGCTTGAGGTTATATCCAATAAGGGACAGTACATTTATGATTGAAAAATAAACTTTTTATGAAAAAAATTCAGTAAAATTTTCAGTTTTTTTGGATGGAATTTATATTACAATCTGATATATGTGTGTGTGTGTGTGTGATATATATATGTATGTATAATTTTTTTTATCATTTGTTGTTGTAAAATAAAACTTTTATTTAACTTTCATGTATCTTTTTTTACAGGGTGAAAGCTAATACTGCAAATATGAAGATAGATTTATTTATTGGAGGAGAAATACTAGATCCTTCTGATGATAAAAAATTAATATATCAGTTTCCAATCAGAGATAAAATGGTAAGAACACATTACACATTTGTATTTATTCTTCTTTATTATTATACAAAACCAAAATAAAATTACAAAAACTTTTTTAATATATGTAATTAATATTGAATTTTAGAATTTTCTGTATTATTTTCTGAATGATAAATCTAGAAGTTGAGGAAATGTCTTGATTTAGTGGAAGAGCAGTCTTCTGTTACATCATTATGTTAATAATTGTAAAAAAGAAAAGAAAAAAGATAAAGGGAGTGATAAAAAATACATGAAAAGAAAAAATCATAGTCATATTGAATAAAAAATATTTATTGGCATTTATGAATTATTTAATCATCAAACATATTTATAGGTATAATCATACAACACAACATTCCTACAATACTGTTTTGCTCTAACACAGTTCAAATATTTGGGAATCTCTCATACAACATGACATTCCTACATGTTTCAAGAATTGGAGACATTCCAGTACAAAACATCACAATTTTTCAGTGCAAACATGCCATTCAATATTTTTTTTGTTCAAACAAGCATGCATGTTGTCTAATATTTGCCCATGGATTTTAGAATGTTGAAATTTTCAATGTTGTTTCATGCCTTTTGCCCAGTTTTCTTCAATGACAGCTGATTTTACGATAGTGATAGTGCTCTAAACGAACCCTAAAGACTGTCAATGTGTTTTGCTTTTATAGATTAAATGAAAAGTTACGTCATGAAAAGATTAAATTTTTTAAAGATCTTTGAGGCAAATACAAACAAATGAAAATATCAGATTTTATGGAAAAAAATTAGAGAAAAATCAAGAAGTTGCTGATTAAGATTAAGGTTAACGGGAAAGCCCAGAAGATGACTATATTTTGCAAAAAAGATTATGTCCTTGTTTCAGTGTTTAGCAGTGAAGAAAGATTAATATTAATGTGCAATACTTTTGATTGTGATTGTTACTTATTGATTGCTTTAATAAACATATTTCTCTTAATTACAAAAAAGAATAGTATATTTTTTCCAATAACCACAAATAACCATTCCCAGTTCTGTATTTTATTTATAAATGCATTTTTAATAATATATGGTTAATAAGAATCTATTTTAAGCTTACAAACAAATAAATTTTAGTTTTTAATATAGTACAGAAAAAAAAATAATCTAAATTTATGAATACATGTACATACGTATGTACATACTTGTAAATGTACGTGTTTACAATTTGGCAATGTTTACAGTGCATCGCGGGCTCTATTTGTAAATGTGGTTTGCTCTAAGACATTATAAAATAAAATGATTCTGTAAGGTTAAATAACAAATACAGTTATTAAAATTATTTTATGATAGTAGAAAATAAACTAATTTATGTTAAATTTACCAATATCGAGTGGCACTGACAACGATGCCAAACAGTAGATATTGGAACTACCACGGAAATTGCCAATATTGAGCTCTTAAAGACTGCTAAATAAGACAACAACACAGAGTCACAGATGTTTTCATATTTCGTTCTCTACGATTTATGATTATTATATTAACATTTACTGTAAATGTATGTATTTTAATATGATTTTATATGCTTTTAACACTTTTCTAGTAATATTACAACTTCAATATTTGTGGCAGACAGACATAAAGTCGAATAAAATGACTTAAACCTGACTTTTATTTTTCCATATATTTTTTTTTGACAAACAACATAACTTGAAGTATACCTGTACTAATGTTTCTGTAAACATTAATTACTGATCAATTTCATATAAAATGAATTAAAGATATAAAAAAGTGAATAATGAAAAATTGAGATGATATGAAAGGTTTTGTTTATCTCTATTTTTTAAAGGTTAAAAAAACAGCTATGCAGAAATAAGCATCTAATATGAATATACATCTGAGTGATTGTTATATAAAAATTTTGTTGCTCGGGATAATCTATATCTAAGATTTTAGACTGCTGCTGATTAAGTATGTGATTATAAAATGCAAAGTTTAATAAGAATTTACATATGCATTTCAAAAAATTTTCATGTTTCAAGTGTGATTCTTATCAAAAGTTGATAAACAATAAAATAATCCTCTAGGAAAAAATTATAGAAGTTTGAAATAAGTATATCAGTTCTAAATGAATGAAAGGATGAGGTATATGTTTGTGATATATTGTAATTTGCATGTTTAACTGACGGATTAATTGCTATTACTCTTTAACAATTGCAGTTTTTTTTATTGGAGGTGAAAACAAGTTTAAATCTAACAAAATTGTTTAATAAAACATTTTTAAAGCCATCTTTAGGTTAGCAAAATCTAATACAACATAAGTAAAGTTAAAAGATACTAAAATTATAAATTTAGAATTAAAATATACAGAATAAATCAAAAAAATGAATAAGTACAATATTAAACTAAATTCAACACAAAACTCAAACTTTACTTAGAGTCTATAATATGAACTTCTTGAATAGTGTGAGAATCCAGGGGCTGTTTTTTTTTTTTTTTTTTTTTTTTTTTTTAATTTTTAACGAAAAGAGAAGATTTAGAAACTTTTCCCTTTTTCTGTCCAGTTCCCATGGAGTTAAAAGAAGAGAATAGCAAATATTGACTTAGCTGTCAACAAGTCCTTTCCTCCCTCACATCGACCCTTGAAATTATCGCAAATATGTGAGAAAGTTGACACTTAACTTAGTCTAATGAGGAAATCTAAAACAATCAAAGGAAATGCAATACTTTTAGTTTTCATTGGCCAACTATGACACTTTTGATGTGTCATTGCCATCAAACAAACGGTTACCTGATCGGATTCCCACACTTAATTGGAATATAACGATAGGGGACACAACGTTCGGGACAGACATACTCTGAAGACGACCATATAGAGTCATCTCGCTATAGCGAGATGACTCTATATGGTCTGTCCCCAAAGGATTACAATTATAATTTTTGTGCAAAGTTTCTCCCAGTTCTCCACAAATAATTTAGCACCGAAACAATGGCCTCTACTCCAAAAAGATGTATGATAATATAGATGTAAACACTCTATCTTGATCATTTAGCATTCAAGTTAGAGTCGGTAGGTATTGGCTCATATAGGTATATTTGTACCACCCTAATAATTGCAAATGCATATAGAATGGGTCATCAACCTCTAGCTTAGGAATGCATATCTCTAATTGTATCTTATGCTTTATTTTTTATTAAACTTAGGTTGACAGGTTAACTAAATAATGTCTTTATTTGGAGAATGGTCCCCTATTAGCTGATTCAGCACACTTCCCCCACTCAATTTATAGCCCTCCTATTTTGATGCAGCCATCCAATGACAACGTGAGCAGATCTTGCCGATCCGTCACCGTCAAAAGGGGTTTAAAGTTTTAATGCTCTACCCCGGCTTCTCACAGTAGGGTTTGAGTTTTGTGAATAGGAAAAAGAAATGCCATAATCACATTTCTGTTGTAAGCAACAAGTGTCAATAAACTGGGGTTACTTTGTGATAGTTTTCACTTTTTATATGTTAATTTCTGGATTTTTGAAGTAAACATGCAATTAGTTGTCATTTTAGGAATCTCTTACGTTTTCCTTTTATATTCTTTATATATATTATATATTATAGATACAAAATATAACTGATATATTTGGATATATTAGTTATATTTTTAATATTAAAATTAAAGAAATTAATTGTCATTAAAGATATTCTTGAGTGATGACATAGAGAAATTTTGAAAAATTTTTACATTGTGATTTGTGATGGTTGATAGTGTTCAAAATTTTCTTCTTTATGTACTAAAAAATGATGTATTACTTATTTTGAAATTATTGATTTTATTGTAATTTGATCATTATTTGTGTAGTTGATTTCAGCAAAACTCTGTCAAGTAGGATCAAATATGCCTTCCTCACCAGATTCTAGTTCAGATAGTTCAGCTGAATCACCACAACATCCATATGATGGACCAAATATTGAAGCTGAAAATTGTCTGCCAGGAGTGGTAAGCTTTTTATGAATTATTGATATTTCTAGAAAACTGCTGCTATTTTAAATTAATAAAACTTGGTTCCATTAACTCAAAACTGTAGTAGTTTATAGTCTATATTGATATTTTATATAAAATGTATTTTTAAATTTTTTAGAAAAGTTTACTAAAAACGATTGTTTACTACTAAAATGAACTAGCTATTGTAGGGGATTTGTTTTGAATAGGATAAAGTTTAAACTGATGGGATTATAAAAGGTGGGACAATTTACTTTCCAGAATGGTCACATAGTGTCACCTACAACATAATCATATTGAAATGATGTGTACTTGTGTTTGAAAATGTTTGAATTAATAAGTGCGTAAATTTCAAGCTGATACAGCTAATTGTTAATTAGCTATTGGGAAAGCAATAGTTATCTATGTGTACTCTTTCACATAAAAACGGGTGACCAAAATTTAGAGCAATGTATTAATATTAAATTTTATATGAAAATCAGCAAATGCACTGCTGAAACATTACAGTATGACCCAGAAAAAAATGTCAGATCATGCAATGGAAATGCCAGAGTTCATTATGCCCTAAAAAGGCACGCATGTCATGCTCATAGTTTAAAACCATGCTGGTGTGTTTCTTTGATCATAAGGGTATTGTCCACCAAGAATTTATTGAACAGGGACATGCAACTAACAATGCTATTTAGAAGTACTGCATAGATTGCAAGATTTTGTTCAAAGAAAAAGACTTGAACTGTGGCCTGATAAATGGGTCATTCATCACAACAATGCACCAACTTACTGTGAGACATTTTCTCGCCAAAAAAATTAATTATCCAATTAGATCATCCTGCCTATTTGCTTGACTCAGCTTCCTGTGATTTCTGCCTATTTCCAAAATTATAAGTTGTGCTGAAAGAATGAAGATTTTCTAATATAATTGATATCCAACAGAATGTGAGACAGCTGCTCAACAATATTCCAGAAAATGAGTTTCAGGCCTACTTCCAGAAACCGGAATGCCATTTAAGTCAGCATATAAATGCACAAGGAGAGTACTTTGAAGGTGACAGTAGCCACTACTGTACAATTCCGCATGTATATTAAATTGTCACACCTTGTATATAAAGAAAAGGCAGGAAATAGACTGATTTGACTTCTTTCTTTTGTCTCTTACAGACAAATAAATAAAGTATAAAAAAAATTTTTTAATATATTTGATAGCTACAATTATGTAAAAGAAAAACTATACAGGACATAATAATTTTATTATTGTCACATTTTAATAAAAAATTTATATATATAACTTATTTGCTTTTTTGTTTTTTAACTGAATGTTTAGCAAGAAAATAAGTAAAATTGATTTGGATTAGCAGTATTTAGTAATCTTTATAAATTTACAACAAAGATATAATAAAAAGGACGAGGATATGATTATTATTATTATGATATTGTTTACATGTAGAATTTAGAATTTGTTGTATGCTCAAGAATTTCATATGCTATAGATATCATTTTAATTGTTCTTATTTTTCAGTTATCAAGATGAAAGAATTTGAAATGTTTTTCCATAAAATTTCAACTAATTATAATAAAAAAACTGTTTTAAATTTTATATATGTATACTTTGATGATTGTCTTCATTGAAAATGTTTTGTTTAAATTTTTATATATGAAGAATTATTATTATTTATATAAGAATATATTATTTAAAAAAATGTATTTTTTATGTATTATTATGTATTTCAGCTAATGGCTCAAGAACAACAATATACTCAATTTCTCTTTCAATTGGCTGATTTAGGAAGTTCACTAAATGTACCTGCACTAAGAGATGCAGCATGTGGATTATTAAGATTAATGCCTGCAGGTAGATTATTGAAACTTTATATTAGTTTTTTTTTTGTAACAAAAATGATTCATATTTAAAAAAAACTAACAGATCTATAACAAACTATGACTATCCACAGTTTGTTAGATAGGTCTGGCATACATTGAAGTTTGCTAGTGATGATGAATTTTAAAGAACAATGCTCTGATATGCACTATCCATGATAAATAATGGAGATTCAAATTATGAGAATGATTATTAAAATTTTCTAAAATAATTTTGACAAATTTTAGAGAGCTCATTTTAGATGTAATGTAAATTTTTAGATGTAGTTTAAATTTTTTGACAGCTTCAATTGCAGAATAAGAAAGAGTCAAAATGAAAGATGAATTGTTGGTATAGCTATTCAAATAAATTATTAAAAGTGTTTTTAGTTGCTTTTTGTCTTTAGATAGGATATTTTGAATATTAAGAAGCTACAAAAAGAAATAATATTGATCTGCATTCCTCTATGCATTTTAAATGTTATGTATAGATCTAACTTGAACATTTTTAAAATTTGCACTATTAATAACTTTGTATTTGTATGCATTTTATATGAATGCATGAAATATTTAATATGGTTTTCTTTTTTACATTAATTATGTTTTTTAATCATGCTGTGAAATGCAATGTAAAAATATTGTTTTAAGATCATTTCATAAAATAACTAATACAGGTTGAGAACCTTTACCCAAAATGCTTGGAACAAAGTGTTTTGGATTTTTGAATATTTAAGTTTATAAAATGAGACGTCTTTGGAAAGACTGATTTGTCTTCTTTTTTTTTGGTCCCTTATTTATGGAAAATTAATAAAAATTTGTAAAACAAACTGTAAGACTTATGAGAATATTTTTTTAAAAGATATTCACATAAAGGTGTTAATTGATTTGTTCAAAAGAGTGTCTATTTGTTTAAATTTTGAATGTGTTCTGTTAAATATACATTAAATATTGGTATTATACTACACTTGAGGAATACAAAAAAGCCCTATCTTTTGTGTATATATATATATTTCTCATAAAGTTTATCAACTTAACATCCAGAAAAATCATATACACCTGGCAAAAAGGGCCTCAGGAGAGCACGGGAACGTTTTCAGTGATTTGTGGAATTTTCCTTTTATGGTGCCTCATTTCAGCACTCAAAAAATTGTTGAATTTTAGAAGTTTATGGTTTTTAGAATTTCGGATAAAGGATTTTCAACTTGTAGTTTGATTATAAGCATACCTTCAAAGAGTTGATTGTGAAGTTGATTATCTAAACTTGCCAACAAGTTTAGATATCTTCTCTCTCCTACTTTTATAAAATTAAAAAGTAAAATTTGATAAAGCTTAAATTACATATAATTCAGTATAAATATATTATCTTAGTTTACATTTGATTTAGGTATTTTTCATTTAAATGTATTTAAATTATTTTGTATATTTATATTCTTTCCAGATTCTCATACAGTAAACAAGCTAAGATCTGTTTGTTTAGATCATGCAAAATTAGGAGATCATTCTTTGCAACCTTCATTAGAATCAATATTTTTTGTTTCTTCACCATCTCAAGTGGTTTATACTCTAGGGGTTTGTATGATTTTCTTCTCCATAAAAATTTGTATTATGTGGTAAAATATTACATGAATTTGATGATATATATATCAACTGCCATTTGAATTTAAAATTTATATTAGCAAAACATTTATTTATAAACTAATACACAATGGTAATAACTTTTTATTATAAATTTAGGTTGTTTAAAATAAACAACTTAAATTAAAGTAAAAAATATTTTAAATAAGAACATTTTTGCATTTCAATTTTCAAAGCCAACAATTGGATAAAATTGTTGTTTAAGTAATATACTGTTATGTTAAGAAACATTGTTGATGATTACTTTTGAACAAAAAAGAAAATGTTATGTAATAAAATTTAAATTATTGTTCTTAAGGGAGTGATAAAATATAATATATTTATTTATTATATTACTCCCTTAACAACAGTAATTTAAATTTTATNCAGGTTTGGATTAAGTTTTGAATTTCTTTTTTATCATCTTTTTTTATTACAAACCATGATTATACTGCAGTAATTTGAAAAATGATCATCTCTTTTAATTTAATTTAATTGCATGAATACATCTTTTTTTATTACAAACCATGATTATACTGCAGTAATTTGAAAAATGATCATCTCTTTTAATTTAATTTAATTGCATTAATATAATTTTTAAAATTATTTATTTCATAATTTACAGGTATGCTATTCTCTTCTAATGCCTGCTCTTAATCCATTGTCAGACGATGCACAAGGCTTTCAATATAATTTTGTAAAAAGTGGTGGTATTCCTGTTGTACTTGATATGTTGACAAAAAATAATTTCATGTGTAACACAGACATTACGGTTAAAAGGTATGTATAAAAGATAAAAATATGACATTGTAATTGTTAGTGCCTGTTTTTATTGTTGTTTAACATTTGAAAGTTATAGATTTAGGATTAAATGTAGGCTAAAATTATAACATTATCATACAAAATCTTAATTTTTTTCTGTTCTTTTGAATTTATATTACTGCATCAGTTAACTTTCTTAACTAAGTTTTTCTTATTTCCAGAAATAGCATGTTTAAAAAACTCAGTCAAAAACAAATTTAGTTTAAGCAACTTTTAGAAGTTATATAAACTTTGATGTAAAAATATTTAAATTTGTAAATGTTGTGCTTATTTTGAATTGTTAATAATGTATTCATATCAAACTTGAAACATTCATATTTTATAAGGTTATAATAAATATATATAAAGTGTTTTTTAAATATGCTATTTCTTTCAATAGGAAAAGCTTAATTAAGAAGTTAACCCAAAGCAGTAATAGAAATTCAAACATGCAATGTAATACGGATTAGATTTTATATATAAATATTTATTTATATATGTTATTTGAAATAAGATTCCTCTGCAGCAATACAATGTTCAGAACGAGTAATTATCATTTCAAAGGACTGAAATGAAAATTGAAAAATGAAAAGAAAGTCCTTTGAAGTGATAATTACTAGTTCTGAACATTGTATTGCTGCAGAGGGATCTTATTTCAAATAACATATATAACATATATAAAGAACAAAAATGCATTGAGCAAAAAAAAAAGTCCACAATTCATTGTGGTTTCTTTAAATCATCCACAATGTGATATTTGTGTTGTGGCACTTGTAAAAATAGCCACAACACACTGTCTAACTCAAAAAGACCACAAAGCAAAATTTGCATTGTGGCTTTCATGATATTTGACCACTAGGCATTGCGGTGATTAAGAAAAGCCATAATGCGTTCTGAACATTAGCTGATGCAATCATGATAGTGAGAATGAGGAATTTGGTGCAAATGTTACTTGCAAACTCTGTTTAAGAAAGAACAGCATCAATGCTGAGATAGAATGTGCCAAATCCAGCCTAGAGAAACAGTCACATAAAAATGATTTCACTATTCAAAATTTCCTGCAGTTGAAATTTTTAGTTAGGGTGCCTGATGTTGAAGGGGACGTGCAGCTCCCAGAAATGTTTTAGCTGCTGTTACGAGCAGTAATCCATCAGGTCTCTATCAGTTAGGAAACAAGGAAGGTCTTCTTGATTGACTTTATGCTCATGATGAATTTATTTCTGAGAGCAACTTCATTAACGTTCAGGATGTACTGTACCTTTAACTTCATTAACACTTTGCTCAGCATTTATGTTAACATCTGGAAGTAAGTAATGGTTTATAATGTGTAAAAGATACTGTATTGATAAAAAATGCAAATGTCACTCAAAGAACATAAAATGAAACTCGAAATAGCACGGTAATAGTTCTTGTAAAAAAAAATCACTCTGCAGCATTCTTGATTCTCATAAAAAAAAAAACACTGATTTAATGTTCCTGACAAAGTAATTATTTTTAGTAAATTAGTTGTTTGAAAATGTTGACATATCGAGCACTGCAACAGATTTTCACGAATGATTAAACGTTGTTGAAAAGTAACCAAGTTACATTTCTGTATGTGGTGAATAATTTTGTTACCTACTTATATAAGATAATTGAAGATACATAAATCATAATGAAAAAGAAAGTTTTATTTTCTTATCATCACCTTGTTATTGGTTAACATATAGAACTTGTGGTGGCTTCTAACCATAATAAATCTGTCGCACAATAGTTTTTAACTTTAGCAGCTGATTTTTATCTTATTGTGTGGAGTACATGGAACTTGAAGCTACTAGTACATGTAGTTTGACCTTTAGCACTTTTAAGCAAAACCAAAAAAAAAAAATGCATATTTTTCTCCATACATTTTATTTTTTAAGTATGAAAATTAAATTTCTAGGAAAACTTGTAGAACTAATGTTATTCAGCATTAAAAATTATAAATAGAAATGTTTCAAGGCTAGAACCCATATTTTAAAGTTACAAACCACTGTGCATCATATCACCCTCTATTCTGGTTGCATCAACTAACATTCAGAATGTGTTATAGCTTTTCTTAATCACCACAATGTGTAGTGGTCAAATATGAAAGCCACAATGCAAATTTTGCTTTGTGGTCTTTTTGAGTTAGACACAGCATGTTGTGGCTGTTTTTATAAGTGCCACAACACGAGTATTGCATTGTGGAGGATTTAAAGAGACCACAGCGTGTTGCGGTTGTTTTTTTCGCTCAATGAACATTTTTGGTCTTTGAGCCTAACATATGTATAAAATGGGATGAGTATTTAACTTTTTTGCCTCCAATAACGTTTTAACTGTTGTTGTACATAATACATAAATAACATAAAAAACATGTATGTGCTTGCACAGAAGTGCTGTAATGGAAATAGACATTTCTTTGAACACACTTTAAAAAGACCACTTAAAGAAATGTGACTGCATATTGCAAGGTTCTCCCAGTTTCCAGAGCATTATGTTTAGTTTAATTTATATAATGAAGAAGTTGATTGCATTCAACACAATATGTGCAATGTTTCCACATTGATAAAAGTATTGTGTTCTCATTTAATTTAAAACAATGAAGTTGATTTTCAAATCTTAAAAATTATTTCGCTAATAAAGATTTTATTTTATGCATCAGATGTGTCAATCAATATTTGTCATTTTTCATCTGACATATTTTGTCACAATAGGTTAAAACATTATCAGAAGTGGTATGTGTGTGTGTAGGTATACAGTTGAGAATCTGAGAAATACAAATGTTTGGTGTTCATTATTTTTTTTTTTATTACCTTTTATTAGTTCATATTCCTTACTTGTGATTTAATTTGTACAAAACAACCACTTCACACCTAAGCGATAATTCCAGCAAACGAACAATAAAAAAGGTTTAATGTTCAAACGTTTTCGGCCGTCTTTCAGAGGCCCTCATCAAGAAAAACACAGAAAATAGAAAAAAACAGTTCTATCTTTTGAACAGTTTTTGAACATAGCTGTGTTCTAATTTTTAACATTTAAACGATGTTGAATACAAAGATCGTTACGTATTACAACATATAATTAAAATATTTATAAATAAATACAATAATAATATATATGGTGTTAATATATACGGTGGTAATAATATATTCATTGTTAACAGTTAGCCTGATGGTTTACTGTATAAACGATGTGCGATAGGGAAAAATTGTTTCCTTTAAAAATCATAATCATGCTTTGTGGCTTTGTAAATAATACTTCCACGATTGTGGAACTAGAATATAGTCGGAGTTAATGCAACCTCCCTTCACACCCGCTATATAAATTTCAAGAGCCTCCAATAAACATAAGTCGTGTTGTTCAAAAGCCCTGTGTAAAAGCATAGCTTCATCCCAACAAGGAGAAACCCCGGGTTCGGTAGCATACTGGGCTAGTGCAGTATTATATTTTCCCTTGGACACATCATACTTGTGGTCTCGTATTCTAGCCTCTAGAGATCGATACATGGACCCGATGTATGTTATACGCTTATTGAAACAATTGTCTTGCAATGGAATGCGGTACACTCCTGGCACTTTCTTGTCCTCAGACTTGTCTTTTGCATTAGATAAGATTCTAAAAATGTTCTGTTTTCTCCTATAAGTTAAGCGCAAGTTTAAATCCTTAGCAATTCTATTATAAATTTGTTGGAGAGACAGTTCGTAAGCTATAACTACCTGCTTGTGCTCCTTATCATTAAGCCTCGTGTCGGTGGTAGTTATCGTAGATAACTGGTTAGCAGCGAGCCTATTTATTAAGGACTGGTGGTACCTGTGTGCAGATGCTATGGACTTGATGTGTTTCAGTTCGATATGTGTATCAGAAGTGTCTGAGCAATGGGAGAAAGTCCTAGCAACTAGGACCCGGAAAGCCGCTCCCTTAAAAGGCCAAGGGTCTGCTGAGTTAGCAGGTATAAAGAGAGGAATGTATGTGGGTTTGCGGTAAATAGACGTGGTTATATTTTTATTCGCCATACTAATCTTGACATCCAAATACCTAACCTCTGTGCAACTTTCCTGATCTAATTCTAGTGTTAGGCCATAGACGTTGTTGTTAAAATCTTTTAACACCTCTCCTATATCAGGTTTGGTTTTCCATATAATCAAAATATCATCTACATACTGCGTATAGCTAAGGATATTGTGTTGTAAGCTTACTAAGACTCTTTCCTCTAATTTACATAAGACGAGTTCACACAGATCCCTGAGATAGGGCTACCCATCGGTACTCCTCTTTTTTTGGATGTAAGTTTGACCATCAAAGTAGAAAAAGGAAGAATAGCATATTATATGCGTCAGCTCTAATATTTGGGAATGGAATCTCTGGACGTCAGGTGTGGTGGTGAGAAAGAAATCTCTCTCTAGCGCACGGAAACATGGTACCAAACGAATGGAAGGGAACATCGATACAAAATCGAATACAGTAAGATATTCGTTCCCATTAAGATTTATATTTTGGAATTTAGTGAGTAGTGCATTTGAATCAGAGACAGTAAAGTTGTATGCGTCAAGGTGGTTTTGTAACAATTGATGGATACGTTTCTCTAACAAGAATGTAGGAGATCTGGATTTATTGATGACCGGTCTTAATTTTTGCCCGGGTTTATGCGTTTTGGCAAAAGCAAATAGACGGGGGGTGTCAGGGGAGCTTAACTACTGAATGTTGAAGGCCTAAGATTGCAGCAAGGCCAGTGTGAGTGAACCTACCAACACGACTTTGTAGCTTTGTTGTGTAGGAGGTCTCAGCGGGTTGACATTGAGTTTCAATTATATACTGGTGTAATCTATTGACATAGGTTGTCCGTTGCATGACGACTATTGCCTTGCTCTTATCCGATTTGACCATTGTCATGTTGTTAGATTGGAGCCACTTCTTACTGCGTCTGATGTAATTCCAGAACTTATGCACATCGAGTTCAGGGTTGTAATTCTCAATTGCCATCAGCGCTTTCCATCGAAGTGTGAAGTGGTTGTTTTAGTATATATTTCCAGTTTGTGTGTCAGTTTTTTTGTCTGATTAATTTGTACATAAAAATATTTTTTTCTTCCTATTTTCTCTCTGTATGTTTTTTCCATAATAACAACTGTATACGTACTTTTGCACCCATCTGTATATAGTAACTATAAGTGAAAAATTATATAAGAAAATATTGATTTTTTAGTCAATTAATTTGTTCTTAAAGTAAAAATAATTATAAAAATGAATAGTATAATTATCTGTGTAGACCTATCATTACAATAATTTTGTTTACTTTTTTTTATCTTTAATAAAAATGCTGATAAATAATTATAATTTCAGGGCTGCTTATATTGTTGTTTTAAAAATTTGTAAATTATTGCTGACAACAGTTGCTCATTGTATAATACAAGTAGAATTAGAAGCATGTCAAAGCTCTCCTGAATCATTTACATTGCCTAGTACTACTACTATACATTTAACAGGAAGAGCAGCTATATTGCAACAAGCACTTCATCATATTCCTTCTCCTAATTCAGAATATATGGTTCGAAATGTTGCCTTACGCTTAGCTCAATTACTTCATGATCAGGTAAGTTTAAAAAAATTTCTTGAATGTTACAATAAGTGATTATATAATCAGTTAATAAAATTTATCTGTTGACATCCAAATTAGTTCATTCAAAATTAATATTTTTAGACAATATGAACAAATGTCAACCAATTCAAAATGAAAAACTTGTATAGTCCAGCAATTAATTTTAATAAACAAATGTTTTCAACCATCTTAAATGATTATCTTCAGATTCTAGAAAATGGTTTAAGATAATTAGTTAAGGTTGTTGAAAACATTTGTTTATGAAAAATTATTGCTGGATTATACAAATTTTTTTAATTTTGAATTTGTTATGGAATAAATGATCTTTGAGTTTATGCTTCTCGTTTCTGCTAAAAAGAGACAGGACAAAATTTGCTTTAACTAATGTTTACCAAATGTTCTTGTTCTCGCCTTTTCTCACAAGAGTTATGAGACATATTTATTAATAATTTAAGTGGTTACAGTTGTAGAAAATGTATAAAAACTAGTTAAAAATTAAATCATTGAGCATTCAAACAGTAATAAATTTACTAAACATAAATGTGAGAAAATAACAAAAAAAAAACATATCTGTGGTGTGGCAACATCCATACCGCACCATCCAGAATTTCTTCTGCCTAATAATTTATTTTTCCAATTATTTTGTATAAAATAGTAATTTAAAAAATTGAAAAAAAAAAATTTATTAACATATCAATCAGATTTGTTTTCTATTAAAAAACAATAAAAAGAATTTTATCTTATGGAGAGTTGTAATGGTTACTCTGTAGGAAATGTAAACCTAAGAGATTTGAATGATAAATTGTGGGAAAAACTTTGATTTACAGTTTTCAAAACTTTTGTGGATAGTTTGGATTAATTTAAAATTTGATGGCAAGTATTTTGATATAATAATCATAATAGTTATTTCATCAACAGTTTGAATAAAAGCACATTATACTTACAGAGTAAAGTAATTTTAAGTAAATAGATTAGGATGTTTTATGTGATTACTGTGAGCAAAATAAAGTTTATATGAATTGCATGAAAGAAATAACAAACAAAATGATATTTGTGAAGTTTCTTGAGAAGAAACTGTATCACGAAGGACCTGTTATAAACAGTTCACAAAATTTCATCAAACAAGTTTTGACATTTAAAAAAATATGAAATGCACAATGTGAGCAAGACAGCCAGTAAAAGTTGAGAAAGTGGCTAATTGAATTTTGTTTGAGAAAATTAAGAGTCTGAGAGAATGCAAAAACAATAAAAATATCAAAAGTGCAAAGGATTAAATGTTCAAAGGAAGTAGGATTTTGTAAATAAATGTGGTGTATGAATATCATAGTGCTGTGACTACATTTTGATTGATTGTATGCATTAAAAACTAAATTTTTTAGAACCTTTAATAAGGGGTTTAAAAAGTGGATTGTCTATGATAATTTCCAGTGAAAAACATTTGTGTGTGCATGTGTAATGTGGAGAGTCATCTTCAATAAAAACAGTGTTTTGTGTTTGATGGGATTGCAAAGGTATTTTTTATTACTTGATTCAATAAAACATAAACAATATGTGTTGTTTCTGTTTAATTAGACTATTAGAAAGTGGAAATTACTGGTAAAGCCTATTACAGAAAAATAGAAGAGGCATAATATTTTCCAAGATATTGCATGTTTGTATGTTAAGATAAAAAACAAGGAAAAACTAAGAGTTTAATTATGAAATTCTGAACACTTACAATATTTATTGGACTTTGTTCTTTTTGTTAATTATGCTTCTTGCGCTCTGTAGAATATTTTGAATGAAAAAATTTGATTTGAAAATTTAAAAAAAAAAAAAAACTGAACTTTCTAAATTTAAGCATTTTATCATTTGAATAATTTCCAAGTATATAATTGATAGGTAATTACTTTTTAAGATAATAAGGGTAATATATTCTTAATTTAAAATTTGTTGCAAAAGAAGCAATTGTTTACTTAATAACTCAAAATAGTTGGTATATGTTTATAAGATATTTAAAGTTATCTTGTAAACCTACATTAACTTCATTCTAAACTAGAAATTATTTTTATGATATAAATAGTTCTAACAGTAGATGCCATTCAAATGTTGATTATGAAATTATAAACATGCTTTTTATGATATCATCATATTTGGAAAAAATTTTTATAAGGTAAACTAATAACCAGATTTAAATGAGACTTTAATACAGTAAAATCTCTCTATAACAGGTACTTGCAGGATAAAAAAAAAAACTGTTCTAGCGAGGTGTTCACCCAAGAGAAGTTTTGTGAAAATTTTCTTTAAATGTAATCTGCACTGTTTTTATTTATGAACATATAGTACACACCACTCACAAAAAATAGTATAAGACATATATCAATAATAAATGATGAATTAAAGGATGATTTCATAAGTAAGTCACAAATGAATTCTGTATATTTGTTCTTGGTCCTCACATTTATGAAATGTAAATCCTATTGGCGGTTTGCAAAATTATCTCAAATATTACATCTGTCGCCAATTATATTTCCCCATGAATCTGACAGAATTGTAGGTGAATCTCATTAAAGAATAAATTACATTAACCAGAATACTCATCAAACATTAATGGAACCCACATTGAAAACTTGATGTTACAATTACTTCCAAAATACATGGCATGTTACTAAGGATATTTTCTAATATTTTTACAAGTGAAGTATATTAAATATAGAAAGAAATAATTAATTTTTACACTCTAAATCAGAAGATTCCTTTATGTATCTCAGCCACAATTCATCAATGAACTGTTTAATAAGCTTTTACTGGAATGTCTGGCAATCTAACAAGATGGCAGAAGCAAACAGGGCTACATTGGCATTTGCAGATTTATTTTATCAAAATAAGTTTGGGTTGATACAGAAGAATAACAAAAATGATGTCAATAACATAACCATGGAGGCATTTGTATTGTTTCATCAGAGCTCACTATACCTACAGCCAGATGAGTGTGATGTGCACTGTGAACTCACTAGCAAATATTAGAACACATTTTAGTACATTGTGGTTCACTGATATGCATACTGGAATGTATCCACTGAGGAAATTATACTGTAGTTATGATACAAGTTCTTCCCCACTTACAAATGGGTTAGGTTCCTGGGGTTTTGTCATAAGTCAAAATGTTTGTGTCAAAAACTAACCTATAAAGTACATTTGTACACAGAATGACCACAAATTGTTAGTGTTTGGTCCTTCAATGTATTAATACTTATAGAATATGTTACACTTGTTTACTCGCTCACTATTGCTTTGTAGTGGGTGTTTCAAACAGTTTTTTTTAACCTAATGCACTTAATTTCATAATGTCCAGTTTACAGTTTAGTTTCTGTGGAAATAGTGTGACACTTGCATTTTTCTTTACTGCTAGATTTACTGTTACATTTTGGACACATTTTTTAATTATAAAAGTTTATAAAAAATTTACAAATAGCAAAAAACACCATTACGCCAACATCACCAACTTTGATGACATCTCATGAGTGGTGATGGAACCTTGGAATTTGTGCAAAAACAAAAAAATGACAAAATGTGATAGAAATAAGCCCACATTAATTATTTATTAAAAGTTTATTATTTATTACTGATCAAACACTGACTTCAATGACACACCACAAAGAGCAAGAGAACTTCACAATCTGCACAAAATTTAAATTTTAGACATAGTCAAATTGTTTGTAAGTAGGGAGTGCACCTGAAATAAAAAAAAATNAGGTGCACTCCCTACTTACATATATATATATAGATTATTTTTATTGAAAATGTAATAAGATACATTGGTAATTACAAATACATATTCAAATCTTACTTAATAAATAAATCTATAAACACCTTTTTGGCTTCTGGGATTTGCTTTTATTTAGCAAACATTTTCAACCTAGTCTAATAGGCCATGCTCAGGCTACAATCTTTCTTGGGACATATTTTACTGTTAAATATTGATAGTTTGAGAAAAAATACTGTAAATTAAGTAATAATTTATTAATTACAGTATTATAGAGAAAAGTACACTTAGAAATAAGATAGATTCATTTTGCAACATACTATAAATGTTAGGATGACACTTCTGTCTCAAGAGACAGAAAATAATCATTGATGATGATCAACAAGTTTTTAATTAATTATAAAGAAATATTAATTTATGATTGATTTTAATGGAAATAATTTCTTACAAGGGTACAAATCACATGCCAGACTTATCCACTGTACGTTCAATAATCTGTATCGCCTGGGCTTCTTCATCTGGCTGTACTCATATGATGCAAGCATCTTATGAAGATCTTCATTCTTTAGAGGAAAAAGTAAGTTTTAAAATGTGTTGAAATTTTTAGACAGTGTTAATTTTTTTTTTCTAATGGTAATATTTGGTATAGAACACACTATATAAGGGATTGACAATTGTGAGCCACATGTGAGTCAATTTCAAATGGTAATTTGCTAAAAAAAATATTTATTTATTGCAGAAGTTGAAAATAAGCTATATAACATAACATGTAAGTTTTCAGCAATACGAAAAAAATTAAATTACTGAAAATGACAAACTCTGCTATATATTTCATCTTTAAATTTTAAAACAAATTTTAGAAAATATCAGTAATATCAAAATAGAAAAAGTCTATCAGATATAAACAATATTTTTTGTTGATATAATTATGATATTGTCAAGAAACAATTTTTTTTACATTTTTATTCTTTTTTTCTAGGTTAGCAAGATGGTATGGTCTGAAAAATATCTTTGAAATAGAATTATTCATTTCCCATAGAATGCTTTTAACTGTTTTATTAATTGTCAAATTGTTTGAGTTTCTAATTTAAGTATGCAACTGTAATGAATAACAGTTGCATAGTTATATATCTATATATACACTAGCAGATAAGTTTGGTGTTGCCCAGGCAAAAATAACAACAACAAAGGTTAAGATTATTAGATTATTTCATATTTCTAATCCTTCTATTATATTATATACAAAGGTTTATTGCACGAAGTGACCAATCTAACACATTTAAAAATTTTTTAAAATTGTATACAGTATATGAATAAAAAGCCCTTACATTAGATAATCTTTGTAGTTATATAAATCAAACACTATAATATGGACCGTTTATTTTGAAAGTGGTGTAAGTCCATTTTTGGAAAAAATTGAGAAAACATATAATATACATACAATTTAGTGTGAACTTTTTATTTATAAACAATTCACACTTAACATTTTAAAATAACCATAAGCTTTGCTCAATTGAAAATTTATCGTAAATGACATTGCATAACCATTGATTTTGAAAGTGGTGTAAGTCCATTTTCTACAGTCTAAGCACTTGGGCTATCCATAAATTACATGTGCATTTTTCTTGAAATTTTTACTTTCCCCTCTTGTCCCAGTTTGTCCAAGATTTTGTAACCCCTTTCCCTCTATGGATGTCCAACATAACTCTATTCCTGGTAAAACCTTCATCACTTTATGAATGATAGATACCATAAGTAGAAATGAAACATACAAGAAACTTTGAAATAAATATAATAAAATGCATACTGTATAAAATTTTATGAAATAAATGGATGTCCACTAATACTCAAACCCCTTGTCCGACTTGTCTTAACCCCTCCCTCCCTTTCAGTGTGGACATCATTTAAAGACAGCCCCTTACAACAGAGGAGTAAAACTATAAATATTACCAACAAATGTACAATTTGATGGACTAGAAAAAAATCCATGTAATGAATCTAAATGAAAAGCAGTGTCTAATGGTAAGCTCATAATAATGATAAACTTATCATAAAAAAGTTTAACAATAAGTAAATATTTTTAATGTTCAGAATAAACAATACTATTTTATTTCTTGTTATTATATATGAACAAAATCAGAATAAAACACAATGTGTTTCAAGTGAAATTGAGTTTTACATAATAGAAATTTAATGAATTTTACAGTTCAATAATTATGAAAGTGGTGTAAGTCCATTTATGGCCCAGAAAGAATATATTAGTTTGGATAAATTCACATAGAAGTCTTTATTCAATCAACTTACATATTTCTAAAGTCATAGAAACATTGTCAAACTTAGTACACTTTGTTTATATTTTTGAATCAACTAAAATGCAAATGTTTAAATATCTTGAAAGAAGAAAAAATGGACTTACACCACTTTTAAAATAAACAGTCCATATAACAAACATTAAAACAAAAACCATATAGAGAGTTTCGCTATTTTAACTTACCATTGTCACATTTATCTCGCTACTTGGTATGAAATGGCACAGTCTCATTGGTCAAGTAGACATCAATCGAATATATGCCTTAAAAAGTTTTTGTTATCATATTTTTTTCCTAATGTTAACTCTAAGAAACTGTACCACTTGCAGCCAAGTATCAAATGGTAATCTGCCAACCAATCAAATTTTGCAAAAAAAAAAAAATAAGGATTATATATTTAAACTTGATACCGCTACTGGAGGGTGCTTATTAGAATTCAGAAAGTACAATTTAGAAATGAAAAAATTCAAGTTGTTAGATGTGGAAAATTAAATTCTTATAGACTTTTCACAGGATAACACTTTTGATTCCATGTAGTCGACAACATTATCAGAAAACAACATCAAATAAGACGAATTTATACTTACAAAAGTTTTTTTTATTAGTAACTGTATTTAAGAATATTTTCTTGTGATTTACATGTAGCTTAAGAATTTAAGAAAATGTAATTGCTGATTTACATTTGATTCAAACATTCCATTTGCTCATTTACAGGTAGCACCAATAGATGGCGCTATCTGTAAATCAGAAAATTGAAGGGGATAGAAATTGATTGATTTACAGAAATCCAATAGATATTTTGGGATGGGATGTTTGACATTATGTAAGTTAGCGGTATATAAATGTAACTACTGCGTTTTGTAGCAATTGGTCAAACAGCATAGGTGTGTATAGCAAACAAACATTCTCATTTATATATATATATATATTTATTTATTTATTTAATTATTTCCATATTGAGAAATTGTATCAAATGTGGTTCATCATTGTTAAGTGATTGTTGGTCCCTGTATTATATAACAGAAGTAAAAAAGTTAATTTTATAAAAATTTTATTTAATATAAAATTAATTTTTAATATGTTTGTATTATGAAATTTTAAAATGTTTTTATTAAAACTTAGACATTAAAACCACCTGAATCAGAAGAAATAAATCTTTGTAAAGAAGCATTAGAAGTTTTAGCTGTTTCTCTTGCTTTGTGTCCAGAAGCACTTGATATTTTAATTAAAGATAAAACTTGGCATCTTTTTATTATAGATTTACTTCTTATTTGCAAAAATAGGTAAAAAGTTTCACAGATATGTTAATTTTTATTTTTTGCTTAAAAAATTAAATCATTATTTACTATTATTATTATTAGGTCTTTACGTTTATGTGCTGCAGAACAATTTTACTTAATAGCTACGAAATGTTACCCTGGTCACCATACATTAGTATTTTTCATTACTCTTCTTTTTACGCATTTAATGGTAAGTTCTGTATATAATTTGTTTTGTTATAATATATCTTTAATAAAGTGAAGGAAAAATGATAAGCTAAATATATATATATTTAGCTTATCATATAATTATTAGCTATCCTTTAATTATTTGCAATAAATTAAAAATTTATTGCAAATAATTAAAGGATAGCTTATTCAGATATAATTAACTTTTATACTGGATACATTTTACTCATCAAAAAATAACTACCATAAGAAATAAGAACTTTAAAATGTTTTTAAAAAATGCCCTTTCTTTTAATTATAGTACAGCGTCGTTTATCCAAAAGCCAGTCAACCGAAACGTCAGTTAACTGAAAGCGTTCCAATCGGCAAATTTAAATTTCCGCTAGTGCTGTGGCTCTGCAACCTTTGGCTATATCTTGGGCTACTCCAATATTTTTTTGTTGGTGTGTGTGTTTTAGCTGGCAGCACTGGCACTTTTCTGTGGTGTTTTTCTGAGGACTAAGTCCAGACATGTGTCGTGCTAAATTGATCGTTTTTGATACTAGATTAACTTCTAAAGTACAGTAGAACCTCGATTATCCACCCTAATTGGGGACTGGGGTTGGTCGGATAATTGAAAAGTCAGATAACCGAAAAGTATGAAAAAATCCATTATTAGTGTAGTATATTATTATATCCCATGTAATTAGTATATTGCTATTAACCTATTTTGCATTGAATTTTCATCGATGTTAAGCCTAACAAAAATTTTTTAAAATAATAATCGTCGCTATTGTATTGTTAAAAATTAGAAAATTAAGCTTCGTTTAAATACTGGCTCCCTTTCATGGTCGAATGAGTGTTGCCAGCTAAAACACGTAAAAATAATATTAAAGTAGCCAAGACATAGCCAAATATTGTAGCGCCACATCACTAGCGGACATTTGAAATTTGCCGACTAGGACGGTCGGATAATCGAGGTTCTACTGTAGAATTTTTTTTTTGTTTTTAAACTTTTCAATATATTTATTTTGTTTGTACAAAATACCTACCAAATAAAGAAATAATTTTTAACGATACAATAGCCATATTTATTATTATAAAAATTTACATTAGGCTTAACATCAACAAAAATTCAACACAAAGCGACACGCAACGGAGAAAATTTTCAACATGGGATAGGTTAATATATTTTTTGTACATAATCGGTTATCTGAAAAATAAGTTATCCAAACAACCCCAGTCCCCAATTGATTCAGATAAACGACGCTCTACTGTATTTGTAATTTAATTTTAATATTTTCATATTCCAATAGTTATTTGTATCATCTTACTATATGATATTATAATTGAAAATTTTATATCATTTATAAACTGCTTTAGATTTTTGAATTCCAGAGAATTTTTATATTATATCTTATATAATAAGTTAAATTATAGCAGTTAATGTCAAATAATAAGTTTAGCTAGTATTGTAATCTTTCATGATTTTGAATTGATCTTCAGAAACCATTATAAAAAGATAATTAAATATTATGTTCATATAATAACTGGAAGAAGCATTATAAAGATAATGATCAGTATACTATAATTTTCTGCATATGATCCATATAGTCACAGAAAATTGAAGAACAGAAATAAAACCTGTGACCTGCACTAGACCGTGCATCTCCAAATTTACCATTGAAAAAATGACACTTAACTTGTATGCAGTGTAGAAGATATTGTCTCAAACATTTTTTTCTTTCATTTTTTTGTTTTATTTTTTATTTTCACTTGCAATTAGGGAATTTGATCCCGGTCCTTATTTTTAATCCCGGGATTTCGGGATTATACTTATTCGATCCCGGGATTATTTCGGTATTGAGGGTTAATAAAAAATAAGAAAATCTTACAGAAATTAAAAATCAAAATTTAGACAAAAATCAACGTATTTTACGGTATACACCTAGTTAATTTAATCACTCTAATTAATCAGACTTACAGTCAGACTAACCAGACTTAAAATCACTGTCTTCATGTTAAATTTATTCTTTTTTAAGCATCACTGAGATCTCTTTAAACTCACATAAATTGAAAAAACTTTTATGTAACAAACTATGCAAATAAACGTTGAAAATTCACAAAAATCTCTCTTAACATCGACTAAATAGACTACTTTCATATAACAACCTAGTAAGTAGGTAGTAAAGTAAGTTTCTTAGGAAAAAGTATTTAAAAATAATATTAATCAGTCACATTTTTCTTAAATATAAAGAAAACTAATTTAATAGGAACATTCTAATTTGAATTGCGAAAATATGATCTGAGAAATAACAACGCATCTAGTGTCTCATCACCAAGTCTGCTTCTCAATTTGTTGCACATATATGCAGCTGCAGAGAAAACGCGTTTAGGTTGATGGAAGTTGGAGGAATCGTTAGTAAATACTTATAAGCTTCGAGGACACGGGGAGGATGGAAGAAAACAGTCCGGTCGACACGGATCGGGATTGTAGGAGTAAAGGCTATAATCCCGATTGTTTCGATCATTGTAAGCATGTTTTTCAAAAAATAAACGCGTTAATTTTGTAAATTCGGTCTCTGTGTGAGTCTCTCAGCGTTCAGCAAACCACTACCCCGAAACGTAAAAAGACTTTCTCGCATCATCCTGACAGATCGCGGACAAGGCGAGGGTCATAACCTTTTCACCTAAGGTCGACCCCCCCAAAGCGAGTAGCGTCAGGTCTATATTAACCACACTGGCAAAACAAGATGGCTGACACATTGACAGGTAAAACGCACTGAGTAGTGCTCTCGACTGCGCCAGAAAATCGATTGGCGCCCGCGAAAATTCAAAAATACAAAAATGAAGTATATTACCAAGTAACCCAGTGAGAACTGCTTGCCTATCATTTTAGTTGAAAATACAAGAAGTTTTATTCCAAGCAAGCATCGCAAGCCCGCTAGGTTAATTTCTGCTGCTTGCTTGGAATAAAATTTCTTGTAGTTTATATTAAAATGATAGGCAAGCAATTCTGTTAAAAGCACTGGCACTGAACGTTTCGCTTCATGCAGTCTATTTTGCAATTTTTTTAAAATGATGTCAATCCCGAAAATCCCGGGATTAGGAAAACTTAATCCCGAAAATTTTGGGACTGAAAAGTGGTCGGGATCCCGATTTTCGAGATCCCGGGATCAAATCCTCTACTTGCAATATAGTATAGGTGTAAATATAGTTATAAAATAAATGAAACAAGTAAAACGGCAAAACTGTATTTGGGATAAGACTATGTCTTGGAGACAGAATCACTTTGATGCTCAAGACAGGTCTTGTTCTCATTCTCCTATCTTCTTTGATATCGCTGCTTTTGTGCGTGATCGTTCAAACTTTGCCGGCCACGACCACAAGATCGTCCACAATGCATCTTCAATAAAATTAACCTATCTAATTTCAAAATTTCTCTCTGTTGCATGTCGGCCCAGGTTGAATTTTTGTCAATGCGTAACGAAAAGTTCCCGTTTTTGAAAAAATAATTGTGGCTATTGTATCATCTGAAATTATTTTTTTACTTTGCACAAACAATGTACAGTTTAACCTGATTATAATGTCATCGAATATAACGACAACCCTAATATAAAGTCAAATTTTTATCGGTCCTACGATTTTACTATACTAGATAATGTTAAAAAAAGTCCACTTGTAATGACATAAAACTGTTTTAACGTCATATTTGAAGCGCACTCAAATTTACAAAATTAGATTACAAAGTTTATTTAACATAGAAGAAACTACGTGTTCAGTCCTAAGGTCAGAGTTCACTTCTTAGAATGACTGCAGATGGTACTCTCCCCTACCCAACTTCGGTAGGATGAGGTGGCTGTTTTGCCTGTTTGTAGAAGAGGGTTGCCATTTTATATTTTATTTTGACTGGATTTTCGGTTCCCTGACTACCTACGAGTCTGGATATTTTATGCGCAAATGATTTGGGCACCTAATACTCTGTGCCAAATATCAACTCTCGACATGTACTCCTTTATATCTCTATGCTGGTAAGAAAATTGGGCAGTACGATTTTATAAACAAGACATAGTCTTGTCAACAAAATTAGAATATTTGAGTCAAAACTTCCTAAACTGCATCAAGTGTAAAAATAGCAAAAATACAAAATGACAAAAATTTATTTATTGTTTCATTTTATTTCTGCTTTATTTATCAAATAATAATTATTAAATGTATAATAATAATAAATGCTAAAATAACTTTGAAAAACTAAATAGAAAAGGATTACATTTGTATTATATTTGATAATTAAAGAACTATCTGGAGTTGAGACAAGTTTAGGTGGCAATGGGTCCAGTGTGACTCTTGATGGGAATGATTACATTATGAGATATAGGGTAAATAAGTCAGTGGTTTTCAGCTTTGATGCTACATCAACACTTTGAAATGGATCGAAGGAAGAAGGCAACACAACACTTGAGCAATTTTCCAAGGAGGAATGTCATCTGGGAGAACTTTCTGTGGGAACTGATCCTGTTTAGTGTTACACATGTGATTGCATTGGTGATTGGTGAGATGCAAATCTGTGTTCAATAGGTTTATTCCAATGGGCTTCAGAACCAGGAAATATAGTGCTGAACTGTTGCTCAGCACTATATTTCCTGGTTCACTAACTCCATATATTTCCTGCTTCCCTAACACTACTTCCATATATTGCCAAAAGTACTGAAAATGCAGTAACTTTATGTTGATAAAGAAATAGAGGTGCCACAAGAAAATAATTATGTTGGGAGTGCTACTATCAAGAAAACTAAATACACTCAAACAAACCTTTACATATGCAGGCGTAAATTAATAGATAAATTCAAACATTTTCGACCATATTCAATGGTCTTTATCAAGAAAAAACTGAACAATCGAACTTCGAACTTAAAATTTGCGTTACCGATACAAGCGTTATTTTTGGAACGCTTTTAAAAAGATATTCTATCGTATAAGCACCATCTCTACATATTGGCTGTAATTACAGTAGTTAAAATAATACCAGTAAAATACATTAAAATACAATAAAGTGCAGATAGAAACAAAAGTTATCAGTTGCTAAGGGCAGACAAAGATGCTGTGGACAAGAACACTCTTCCAGGAGTCTACAGAATCCCGGTTACAGACACACGGAGGCAGAATATCATGTTCTACATCGGAGCTACTGGAAGATCCATCAAACAAAGGCTGTTAGAGCACCAGAGAAACATAAGATAAGAACAGCCATGCACAGCGCTGGCGACGTACGTCTTAGCCGACCCACAAGAGGTCAAAGCGGAGTGGGACCGAGCTAAATTGATACAAATAATACGCGACAAAAAGCACCTCAGATACGCTGAAGCCTGGCATATCTGCAAAACAAGCCAAAAAGGTTTAGCTATCAACTTCCGGGATGCAAGCAAAATATCGGCAGCATGGCAAACATGCATACCATAAGAGTCAAGAAAGTTAGCAAAGCGGCAACTCTCTTAACTTTTGTTTCTATCTGCACTTTATTGTATTTTAATGTATTTTACTGGTATTATTTTAACTACTGTAATTACAGCCAATATGTAGAGATGGTGCTTATACGATAGAATATCTTTTTAAAAGCATTCCAAAAATAACGCTTGTATCGGTAACGCAAATTTTAAGTTCGAAGTTCGATTGTTCAGTTTTTTCTTGATAAAGACCCTTGAATATGGTCGAAAACATTTGAATTTATCTATTAAATTACGGCTGCATATGTAAAGGTTTGTTTGAGTGTATTTAGTTAAGAAATGCAGTCTCTGACGAGTTACTATCAAGAAAAGGTTGAAAACACTGAAATAAATGGTAAATAAAGTAATTATCATTAAAATCGTTATTGTTGATTTTACTAAGAAAGTTGCACTTATGTAATGTCTTATCAAATAAAAAACCCAGATATTACTTTAATGGTGTGTTACATAAATGAAGGATTCAAAAGTGCCAGGCCTGGACATTGTGTGGTGAAAATTGTTGTTGTAGTCAAAACCCGAAATAATTACTATATGTAATGCTAAAACATCTATTTATTAGTATAAGCCCAAATATGTACAATCAAGAAATAACATTAGAGAATAACTTGCAGATAAAGATAATTTATCAAAAAATCAAAACAAATATATACAAAACTTTCATGACAATTGGGGATTTACAAAGTAAGCTACAACTATCTTAGAACTATCTCCACAAAACCAACAAGCAAAATATGGAAAAAATGTTGAAAAAGCACAATGAGTCTTACTAATTTGTCTAATCATTACCAAAAATTTCTGTCACTGGAACTGTAAAGCCTTTTATTAATTTTGCTTAGCACCATCTCTTTTCATTCTTCAGTTTCTCCTCCTTATAGTGTGGTTGGGGTGAAGTTACAAGCCACCCACTTGACCTCATTTGCATACTTAATCATTAATACCTCATTCATTCTAGTAATCGGTCTTGTTAATTCATGTCATCTCCCTTATAAGTAGTTTTATAATTTTTTATTGTGTTTCTGATGACAATTTGCGGTGGGAGATCATTCTTTTAACTTTCTGTAGAAGTCTCCCCCAAGATGTCATTTCTGGGTTGATGTCATAAGTTGCCACCAGCAGTCATAATGGAGAGTTAATTTTGAATTTTTCCTGGGTGAGGTGCGGTAGACTATCCTTAATGAAATAAAACACCCCAAAATAAATAGAATAACAAACAAAAAATAATCCACAAACAAAATAGAATGGCTCAGAATCAACTCCTTACACTTAGACTACACTATTTGATAACACTGGTTGGAGCATCAACAGCTTAGCTCTCATTAACTGTAGAGAACTAACTTATGTTAAAATTAACAGTTGACTTTGAAATAGTTCTCATGAATCATTATGAAGAAAGGGAGAATTAGTAGAAATTTATCAACTTTTAACATAAAGTTTGATTAGGGATGTCTAATAATAATGTTTAAAGTTTGGATTAATGTACAGAAAATGTGGGTAGGAACTAAAGATGAGGCATGTATATGTTACAGCAGATGAATGTCTATAACAAGCAAAAAGATTTACACATCTTTTAGAGATGCTCTTGATAAGTTTAGACATAAGAAAAGCTGTTGGATGAGTTTGTAAGTACACTTTAAAATTGATTGATAACTCACAAGTTATTCACAGAAAATTATGGTAATTCTTTTGCTAATAAGGATGTCTAGTGTATATCATTTGAAAATCTTCACATATGAAATTTTTTATGTTGAATATTATTTAATATTTGTTTAAAGGACTAATTTAGATATTTATTAACAATATATACTCTATAAATTATTTCATAAAATATTTCCTGATTAATAAGTTATAATCCTCTGAGAGTTAAGAAGCATGCTCTGATATTCTAAAAAAAAAATTACTAAGACTAACTGGAAAATATTTTATCATTTTATAAATAAGCAGTAAAGTTAAATAATTTAATAATAATAATAATAGAATTTATTCTGTAAATTGTTTTGCATATACACAAATCTAAGTTATACGTTGTATAATGATAAAATTTGTTTTAGACCATTAAAAATTTTTTGTTATTAAAAAGTTAGTGTTTTTTTTTTTTATATATGTTATATTTGCAAACTCTATTTATATTAAATTATTTTCATTAGTTCTTATTCATAATTAAAAATTTTAAATATTTGATTTAACTTCAATTATGAATTGATACACAAACATATTTTATTGTTTTAGACTACTGTCAAAGAATATGCCAAAAATTCTCATGAATTCTTTCAACTTCTATGCCGATTATTAAATTATGCATGCGTCAGCAATTGCTCTTTATCTACTGCACAGTATTTATTGAATAATGAAATTGATTGGTTAAAATCTGTTAGGGTAAGTATATTGTTTTAATACCTCAAATAATATAGTATAAGAATATTATATAATCCCAGATCTTTTTCCATCATATAAATAAATTAGATGTGCTTCATTGCACTTATCAAAATAGTAAGAAACAATGCATTTTAGACTTTAAACATCAGATTTATTATTATCTGAATTTTTTCTTACTTATTCAATTTAATACTTATTATTAATGGAAAATTGGATATATCAAGTTTTTCTGTTGCATGTAAGAAGAAAAAAGTTAAAAGCTTCATTAATTTTCAGAATAGTCTACTACTAAGAATAAAGATTTTATCATACCAAATATAGTAAGGCAGTTTTGATATCAAAATTTAATTTAATTTATTCTACTTCATCTCTTGTTCACAGCATATGGAATACTTGATCTTTTATCAGAAATAGGCATGTCTGCACATCTATTATCTATTGGGTTGTTCGGAAAGTAAGTTTGTTTTTTTTCCATGGAAAAAAACAGAATATTTTTATAATAAATAAATATTTTATTGAATTATATATCAACCATTTTGGTCAAATAACTGTTGTCATTCTTTCTGGTAGTAGCATGTTTTCAAATTCATAAAATTTTTGATCGTTGATTACAAAAAAACTGATTCAAGTGATTTTTGACATTGTCATTTCAAGTAAATGTCTTACAGTTAAAAAAATTTGTATAGACTGGAACAAATAATAATCTAAGGGTGCTCGATCTGGCGAATATTGTTGGTGTGATAGCACGTCCCATCTAAGTTATAACAGTTTCTGACAAGTTACCAAATTTGTGTGAAATTTGACATTATCGTGGTAAAACACTACACCTGTTTTGTTGGTCAATTCTGGCTGTCTTTTCTGTTTGACGATATTACTCAATTTGTTTACTCGATTTGGGGTACACTTTCGAATCAATTGTTAAATTGTCTGGTAAAAGCTTCTAAAAAAATTTTCTTACAATCCTACCAAAAAGAGCATCTCCCCTTAAGAACATGTGGAACCCATAGATTGAGCTTTGAAACTAAACCAATTTGTTTCAAGTAATCATAAGCAGTTCAATTTGACAAATTCAATCTCTTAGTGATTTCACGTGTTGTTATTCGGCAGTTTGCTTCAATCAGTACCTTTATTTTGTTTTCATTGGCTTCAACTGGCCATCCAGAACGTGGTGCATCTTCAATATTGAAATTCTGAGAACGAAATTTTGTAAACCAGTTTTGGCACTGTCTTTCTCTCAACACATTTCCATACATGTAGCACAATTTTTTTCTTGCTTGAAGAGCATTTTGATTTTTTGGTAATAAAAAAGCAAAATATGCCGAAAATGCTGCTTTCGATCTTCCATATTTGATGGGACACAAAAAATAAATAATTGCACAAATTTACATAAAATTTTTTACAAATAAGCCTTAAAATGCTAGCTGTCAAAATATATGATGTTAAAGTTTAGAATGAAAATGGCGGGAAAAATACGAATAATACGTCTAGTGGTTAAAAAATCGAACTTACTTTACGAACAACCTAATATTATTCTATTTTGTGAAAACAAGAATGTTTTATATGTATTGCATATTATGGATGTTAGTTAAACATACATATTAGTAATATATATTACTTTAAAATATCATTAATTGTAATTTAATATAGTTTTATATTAAAAATTTTTCTTTTAGGAAAAAGTTTTAGCAACTGGCAGTAGTCAAGTTGAAGAAGCTTTGCTTGAAGGACATCTTGGTGTAACCAGGGAATTAGTTTGCTTTTTTGGTCCAGAAAAGAAATATGAAATTGGTACTGATCCAAATAACAAAAAAGGAAATCTAATCAAGGTAAAGTAAATTTTTGATTAAAGTATTAAAGTTTTATATACTTTCTGAATGAATAAATCTATAGGTCCACTTTATAGTAAATTATATCATTTTTCTGTGACAAAATAATAATTATTTTGATATGTAATTATCCAATTTCTGAATTAATTTGAGTTTTAGATCATTCATTATATTTTTGAAGTTGTATTTTAAATGGATAGTTTTTTCTTCTGTATGAAACTTGAAATTATCATACCCAGAAACTGTGAAAAAAATGTCCACAGTATAAAAATAATGGCTAGAAAAAAGATTTGTCAAATTATGATTGCAGTCATTTGTATTTAGAGAATTACAGTGCTAGACAAAGATATCAATTCTGATGTTTTTATTGAATTAATTGTTTAATGAAACAATAACATGCAAAAATTGTGTATCATTGTATAATAATACATAGAAAATAAAAATTGAAATTCTTTTTAATATTTATTATAAAATGCTTATATTGTAGACTTAAGATTTATGACATTTCAATTATTACTTATTGAATTTAAAAACTAATTTTTCTATTTATTTATTTGAATATTCCATAATAAATTATATATATATAAACAAATTTTTTACAAATAAGCCTTAAAATGTTAGTGGGTTAAAATTTAAAAAATATAAATTTAAAAAAAATTTAGTGGGTTATACTCGGTTCACACCGGTGGCTGTGTACTAGCCGGACAAGAGTCAAGGCATAGCAACCAAATAAAACTAAAATTAAATAAGTGTGTCAGTGTCTGTATTCAGGAATTTCCTAACAATGTGGCATATGTATTTAATATAGTGGTCTTCTGTAGTGTGTTGTATGTATTTCTATTCAATTGTAATGTTTCCAGGCTTTTGTGTAGTGTGTGTGGTATCATACCTGTACAGGAAAGAACAACAGGTACAATAAGCACCCTATCCATCCTCCACAGATGCCTTATTTCCTGGGCGAGTTCTGTGTACTTGCTAATTTTTTCAGTGAATGCGTTTTGTACATTGTGAGTGTTTGGAATGACTATGTCTATAATGTATGTGATTTTATTGTGTTTGTCAATGAGTGTGAT